TCGTGAATTAATCGTTCGTGTACAATAATTTGACAGGGTATACAATTCACAAACTAGTTTCGTAGATTAGAGACAATTGTTTGCTTTTTTTGGTTTTTCACAAGAATATAAAGCTGGCAATCATCATAATATTCACGTCCGTACGTCACGAAATGTACACCAATCGTACCCCAATAAACTGGAAAACTTACCTTTGCAAACACGTCTCTTATGCCGCCTTCTTGAAGTTCTTGAAATCAAATAAAGTTACTAGTTCTTCTAGTAACGAGTGAATGAGACCACTGAGCCAAACAGAATACATGTATAAACAGTACTATAATAAATTGCACGCAATGGAGAAATCATGTGCCGTAATAACAGCAGCCTTACTCACAGATCTAATCTACTGTAAAATATTTTATTTCAGCTGGAATTATCATTCGCTGAAAAGACTTTTTCTGGGTGTTTTGTATTGAATTTATTTTCATTGATTTTTGACAAGTTGACTGTAAAATATAAGAAAAGGGTATATTCGCTGGATTTTATTTTAACTGAAACATTCCTTCAGCGAAAATAGCAAAAAAATGTTGCAAGCAAAAATAAAGTATTTTACAGTAATTAATTTATTCTGAGCATGCGCAGACGTTTTGTCAATGTTGCCGGGAGAGGCAATTTTTGATAAAATCGTGAAAAAGACCCACTTGGGATTTTCAGATCTGGAAAAAAAATTACGTGCATACTCGGAGGGGACATGTTCATCAACCTGCCAAGTTTCACTGATATCTGCTGTAGAATTTCTGAGAAAATGTTGGAGACGGAATTATGGACATAACCTGAATTAGTAGTCCCCTTTTCAGGCTGCGCCTGAACGGGGACTAAAAATCAGAGATTTAAAGATATCATTACAAAATGAACAAATTTGAGAGAGGTCTACCCAAGGTACATATACACCAAGTATCAAAGCATTGAGGCTTGTAGTTTTCAAGAAGAAGTCGAAAAAGTAAAACATTGACACGGACGACGACGGACAATCGCTCATATGATAAGCTCCACTCGACAAAGTCGACAGCAGAGCTAAAAAGATGACATCAACTAACCTCATTTGTCTCTGTGATGTCCCCACACTTGGACCACCCATACAAACAGGAAACTTCTGCTTTGAAGACTTCCCATAGTCAGCCCGATTCTGGATGCAATTTAGAAATAAACAACAGTCATCACATACAGGAATGTCACAGAATCACAGAATCATCTCATAATGTTTGATTTTACACATGACAAGCTTGATTGGTCATCACTGAGTGAACTGAATTGTATTTTGAAAAATTTATCATGGACGTTTTCTCCAATGAATCTAGAATATTCACCATGTGAGGCAGTTTTAATTCAAATTTTTTCAATATTAATTTTAATTATTTTTTGATGTTACAATTATTTTGCTGCAAGAATGGTTTTGTTCGTGAAAGCCACCCGAGTTAATTACAAAAAATAATTATAGTAATTATATAAAAAAATACAAAAAAAAATTAAGCCAACCAGGATCTTATTTTAATCAGATTGTGGCTATCCCTACATGCACTGTATGTACAAAGATCTTCTGATGAGCGCCCTCATTTTAAATTAAACCGCTCAGAGGTAAAATCTTGAAAAGCGGTGTTATTTTACACATAAATTTATCCAGTACCGGTACCCACGTTATAAAGCTAAAATGAGTGGTTTCTCATATTTTAAAGCAAATAGAACAAACAGCATCATTACACTACCTAAAGGCCTCCAAATGAATTAATGAATGAATTCTTGCCATTTCTAAGGAGCAGATTGAATGCATATACATGCAAACAAGTGTTATTAGTAGAAAATTGAATTTTCAGACATACACACACATACAGAGAAGATGAATCACGAATATGAAATAACTTTCATGACAGACGCGTACAATTCATGCCTAACAACATTTCATTAAGTTTAGTCAATTTCATCTTACTTCATTCGAAATTACAAGAAAATGAAGGATGAGTGAAACCCATGTTACCTGCTTCCAATATTCCAATTTAACAGCAAATTAAATTAAGGGTCAAATAATTAGTGGAACTGTACCTTGTTATGAGGTTGTGCCCAACATACAGACAATTTTTTACTTAGCGCCAGTTTACCATCTAAATTTTTCATGGCTTTTTCTGCTTCCTGCAAGAATACAACAACGATATGATGATGATAAGAGAAAAAGAAAAGTTAAATAAATAATTTTAAATTCATAAATAGTCGAGAAGCCCTAATGAAATTAATAATTGCGCGATAAAACGTTGATATATTATATGTTGTCAGTGATACTCTATTATATGTGATTATGAAAATAACATGAATTACAAAACCCACTTAATTATTAAAGTAGAATCCTACTCAAAATTTGTGATAAAGTTGGTCATAAATGTTCATTGGTTTATTGTGTAAAATCGTAAAGTTATTGTCTCATGGCATCATGAATTCTTTTGTGACATATTGAGAAACTTGTCCTAATAATTTTTAAAAATCGCTATTTTTAAAAAGAAATTTTGAGATCGGAAAAATAATATCAACATAGAAGTCAGTTTGAAAAATAGCAATCTTGACAATTTTTCATATTTCAGATTCTTATATATCTTGAAATTTTCTGGTGACTCCAATTGAAAACAGCCTCTTGGCTGAGATAGCTCCGCTGTTTGCAATGCACATTACAATTAAAGAACAGAAGATATCATTAGAAAATGAACAATATGTATAGTATTCAAAGTAATCAGACTTGCGGTTTTCAACAATATTGAAAAATATCACTTTTTACGAAAAATGACAAAAATATTCACCAAAATTAGAGAATTAAAGATATCATTACAAAATGAACAAATCTGAGAGAGGTCCACATGTAGTACCTATATATGTAATATCAAAGCAATTGGACTTGTGGTTTTCAACAAGAAGTCGTAAATACCACTTTTTACCAAAAATTACAAAAATATTCATCAAAATTAGAGAATTGAAGATATCATCATGAAATGAACAAATCTGAGTTAGAACCACATGTAGTACCTATATATGTAATATCAAAGCAATTGGACTTGAGGTTTTTAACAAGAAGTCGAAAATATCACTTTTTAGCAAAAATGACAAAAATATTCACCAAAAATAGAGAATTTGAGATTTTGACATGAAATGAACAAATCTGAGAAAGAACCATCCAAGGTACTTGCATATCAAATTTGAAAACATTCTGACTTGCGGTTTCGAAGAAGAAATTGAAATTGTAAAGTTGATGCCAACGACGACGGACAATCAGTAATATGAACAACTCTGCTGTGTCGACTTTGTCGAAAAGAAATCAAACATGACAGATTTAACGTCATTAACTATTTGAATGTTACAATTTTTCCCGCCAAAATTTAGATGAAACATATCACACATTTTTATGTATTTTCTATAAATTTGTTTGTTAATTTTGAATGAAATTAACTTAATTCTTCTTTGGCTACAGATCTTGATGAATGAATATGACGAAATTTATGTGGAATTACATGTATTTTTAGAAAAGCTCTCTCTGGTTTTCTAATTAAAGATTGAGTTTAATAGTCACCAGCTTATCATCATATATTATCTAATTTATATTTAGTCACTCATTCATTCCTAATTCAATCCAACTCGACCTACATATTGATAATCCTACATTCATGTATATACTATTTTTATTACTTTAATATCTGACCTACTTACCCAGCATGCCATTCATACTATTACTAGAATGTCTTCCAACTATAAACCAAACTATTATGCATCCCATACCATCCACTCACACATCTACAACCTCCTCATGATATGTACATGTATTTATGTGTGTGTACATAATGTTATATTAAATCCCAGGCTTGTGAGGGTAGATGCAGTTTTGAGGAATCTTCTATATATACATTTCTATGTATGTGTGTACCAAGTTTGCCTGCGATCTGATTTCAGAACCTAGTTTTGAGATTAATCAAAACAGGTACTAAAATATTTTAATTATTCATTCATCTGTCATACATTTTAATTCTACTAAGTTTACTAGTCAGTTAGCAATGTTGTTTACAGACAAGCGTCCACACCTGCTTTTAAAATTTGAACACCACTACGTGATTACTTCCCTTTCTGCAGAGTTAGATGCGGTTTACCTGAGGTGTAAACCACTACAGTCTTTTGAAATCATTAATAACAATAAGCAATATTTATTGTCTTGTTATGCAATGGAATAAACTGTTCTTTCACGCACATGAAACATGTTCCCTGTATTATTTTGCTATTATATTTTTATTCTGAAATTTCTACAAACTGTGGAATGGAATGTTTTAAAATACATCTCAGTCCATAGTTTTATAGTCAAGATGGATAAACACCTCTCAAGAGAACAGAGACACAGTAATTTCAATGTTTTTAGCCTGCCCTGGAAGCTAGCTATTCCGTAGAAGAGATATTGGATATAATTCATATCACAAAGTTCACTGTCTGGTATAAAACTACATGTACACGTTAAGGCGCATCGGTTTATCACGTTCGTACATAACCTATTGGTGCCACATTCAAAGTACTGGACGCTTGACTCAAAGCAACATTGCTAACTGACTAACAAATTTTCTCGCAAACATACTGCAATGGTGTAAAATCGCTACATCCGGCGGTAGTAATCCTTCCGTTGTACTTTGCTCCATACATCCCTCACATTTGAATTTTGATCCAAATATGAGCATGTAATAACACATACCGGGTACATGTATGTAAATTACATAATGCAGTACTTGCCTCTTTTGTACTGTAGTTAACAAACGAATATCCCCTTGGTTTACCAACATTTGGACCGGATTTATGGAATAGAAAATCAAATTCCTTCACATCGCCGTACCTTTTGAGTATTTGCAACAACTGGTACCTGCGGAAAGTGACAGAGAATAACAAATTAATATGAAGAAACACCTACAGTAACAAGTCATCCATTTTACTGAATGCAAAGCTCGACTCATTCCAGAAATGGTGATATATTTAGTCTCTAACACACTATGCATGTTCTTAGTAATCTACAAATGAGATATGTTATATAATGCTGTGTTTCTTCGTCAGTGCAATATGAAGTACAAAGCCACTTCTCAGCAGTGCAGGGAGATGTACATGTAGTATGGAACGTACATAGCAGAATTTTCAAGCAATGGTTATTCAGACTTACCGGTATATAAAAAATTATTTTATATTTATTGAACATTGTTGCTTTTAGTTTTGACGTCATGCATGAATAACTGTCAATCTACCTGTGTAGACTACGGGTACTAACATTGACCAGAGAATAAAGGTTCATGATGATATGCAGTACTAGTTTGTTTGATATTTGCTGGGGTGGGTGGGGATGGCTTACGATATGTGAAATATATTCGTATCATGTAAAGTCAAAATAAGGTAAAAACAAAGTGTATAACTAAATAATGATATCATCTGTGATGCCAGGACAATTGTAATGTTTAGAGTCAAACCTGCAAATAAAACATAAACTGTGAAAACACGTGCGGGAATACAACACATATTTTATTCATGAAAGTAATCAAGTAAACTACACGGATGAGGCGCTGTGTAATATCGATACACTAATTAATTCATACTCCATCACATCACATCAATTATTAAAGTTATCACGTAAAACCAATGACGAGTTCTCAGGCCTGACAACAGGGACAAAGAGTACATTTCAGGGGATGATAGCTAGCATCACTCAGTTCATCATGGCTGTGATAATCTTTTAATGTTAACGCCTAGGATACGAGAATGAATACCATCTTCTAAGGATATGTGTAATAACTACCAAGTTTGTATGTATATACGTATTGTGTTGTACAGCGACCATGCCTTGGTTACATGTTGGTGATCCAAATCTATACAATGCTTCGTGTAGGTATATTACGATACAGACAAGATTTTAAAAGCCAGGTACAAAAAAATTACATTTAATTCCCTGCTTAGCTCAAAATCTAGTGAGAAAATTACTTTTCATTAAAGGTCATTTCATTTTCCAAATCCGCATCACGGATGCGACTATCTCATCTCCATGTCAACCAGAGGCACAATTACCAACAGTAATATTTGATTATAGCTGAAATTTCAGGGTACATACTTGTAATAGATATTGACTCAGTGAGCCCCCTCAGCAATTCGAGAAATTTATGCCAACAGACAATTGCAGTTAAGACAGTGACCTTAAAATATATTACCTTTTAAGATGTACACTGTATAGCTGTTTTACTCATAGAGGGCGTGGCTTATTATTGATATAAAATTTGCATAAAAATTGCAATAAAATTTATTCCTTTTCTCATATTTATGCAATTCTCCTAAGATTGTCTATAGAGGGCGCTAATATCTGCTAAGAAAGAAAGCTACAACCCTAAGAACCATAATTTGTAGAACCCCCTTCAGCAGGATTCATCTTGCATAGAGTGATTGACATTGACAGTTTACCATCAGACTAAACTATAATTAACAAACTGAAACATACACATGTATACATCATCATTTACATCAGTGCAGGTATATCAAAAATAACATTTCGCAATATTAAATTCAAAAGATGAGAAGGTAAATTAAAATAGTGTCACAAGAAATGTTTGAAATTTCAGAGGACGTCACTGTGGCTACCTGTATTATGGGTAAAAACTCTGGTGAAATATTCACTGTTAGAAAATCTTTCCTAACTCAAAATTCATAAAAATTTTATCTTGCACAAAATAAACGTGGTTTAAGACACACACAGCAGAAATGGTGACTTTTATAACCAAGTATTGTGAAGACTAAAAGGTGAAACAAACAACTCTCGGCATACCCATGTTTTATTCATAATAGTGTCATCTTTCATTTCTTTCACTTTTACATGAAGTATGAGGATTTAATTGAAAATGAAACCACATAATAACCAGATATTCCTACTCAAACATGCTGAAAGGAACATAATAATAGAAAATCCATTAATAACCGGCGTGTTTTGTCGTAAGTGACAATTAAGTAATGACAGTACTAATGTATAGGCATATTAATTTTACTAAATATAGCCATGGGCAAAAAGTCTATTTCTACAGCGTATTGCAGCACAATCGTATTGAGTATGATTTCTGACAAGACAAAGCACAGTGATCTACTATATCCCATCACGTTACATATAAGCTTGTCGAGTAGAGACCAGGAAATGCAGTATTTCAAATGCATGCTTTGCAGGAAAAAGTGGTAAACAATATTTAGTGTTTCCAAATGTGTACACAATACGGTCAGAGTCGTGACAGCGCATAACACTCATTGCTACTTGTTGAGTTGATGGAGACGAACGTGCATGTACAGTTTCATTTTGTTGTGAGAACAGATTTATAAATTCATATATTCAGATCGGTGTATCATCACACTCCATGATTCATTATATTTGTATTAAATGTATTTCATTTTAGACAGCTACACAATATTATGATAACTCTCATTCTTTGTTTAATAATAATACATTTCTACTTTATTTTAACATCAATATCTCATATAAGATATGAAAACAATAAATTATTACTAATATTTATAATTTTGATAAATTTTATTAATTATATATCAGAAATACAGAATCTCTTACAAACATATGCTTATTGTACATACATTCATTGATCTACTATAAAATAGAACTGACATTAACATAGAACTTGAAGCATGTGAACTGTGTAAGTTGAATTAATTGTTCATGAACGAGTTGAATGGAGTTCAAGATGGCGTCATGCACTATTTGTGTGTCGCTGCTAATAAAAAATGACTCAAAAACACTATCCAAAATTGAACTATTTGTAGTCTATTGCCAAAAATCGACTGTATTATCAATGAACAACATCCTGACGATGTTTTATTATGAATGAACTGATTTCATTACTCATAATTTCCTAAAACAACTAACAAAATGGTGGCACCCCTTTGACCGCAAGTGCACCGCTTTTCAAAGTTTTTTTTCAAATATCTTGCATACTCTTCTACATATACACATGTTACTGCATTAAGTTAAAGCGGGGGAGTCGTCATCAACGCATGCGACAGATGGCCATAGCGTGTCATTGTTTACAAACAAGCGCCTACCCATGAGCCTTTGCGTTTTTAGCGTGTGTTGTTATCGTCCCGCTTTAATACACCTCTGTATTCACTGTGATAGGCTGCTGCGAAAAGCTAATCCATACTTGAAAATAGACAGGAAATCCAAGTAACAAGACATAAAATGAGATGTGATAAAAAGAAAATAAACTCAATGTGGTTGTGACATTAAGTCAAGAAAAAACAACAAAATGGTTTTAGGTTAATTTGACCTTTAAAATCAATCGTGCATGTCAAGGCTGTACAAATATATGCTATAGCGCCCTCTATGTTAACCATATAAACTCCATATATGTGACCTTTGAGAGTAGACTTTATATAAGACTGTAAGACACACTCGTTCACCAGACAATATTTTTTTTTTTGGTCACAGGATTATGGATTGATCAAAGTAAACATTACATTTTTTAACGGGAACATTACATTAGCGGGGTTAGCACCCCCTCCCTCATAATTATTTTAGAATAGTAAATCATTTTTCAAGATTTTTTTTTAAAGTAAAGCTATGATTTTATTATAATTCATCTAGGATCCATAAATTACTTGCTGTTCCAGATACTTTATACATATTTTCTAGCTATTGTTCAAAATCATGTTAACCAGCCTGTAAATTTGTTTTCTCTATCTCAAGACTTGACCACCGACCATGAAATGAACGTGCTTTCAGAATAATTTGTTTGCATTCTAACCATGAATGTGAGCATGAATTCAGTGAATATATTGCCATGGTTACACCTGATAGCCTGATATAACACATTTGACCAAGCGAAAATTAACCATGAACGATCAGCATATATTCGCCAAGTACACCTTTCAAACTACTACCGGTAACACTTCCACAGCTGCAATGCAATAAAATAAATCACTAAAACAAATTCTGAGCAGGATGTTGGTAAAATAAATTGAATTACGTTGGCTTTTAATTATAATATGACTGTAACTACTTTCTCCAACTTTAAGTACTCCACCATTAAAACCAACAGGAAAATGTCAATGATGTATTAAGCTCAATTTAGAGTCAAGAGTGTGGACAGAATCAACAGACAGCGCTCTAACTTCCAGCATGAGTATATGAGTAAGTAATAAAAAACACTCAAGTACATATAGCATCAGGATAATTCAGTTGGTAAGTGAAGCGTAACAGTCACTCTCCCTGCAAAGCTGCCTTATTTCCCTACATTTCCCATTCATGTTTTCATTTAGCAAAGACGGGATTTGTTTTTTATGAATATTAAATCCCTTGAGGGTGTTTTTTAAAGCTGGTACATGTCGTTTGAATTTGAATTTGAATTTTGAAAATGCTGACTGCACACAAGCCTTATGTACATTTCTTTGCCATATATTCCATGTTCACTGGGACTACGTGTATGTGGCAGGGTATCTAATAAATAGAATAGAATAGAATAGAATAGAATAGAATAGAATAGAATAGAATAGAATAGAATAGAATAGAATAGAATAGAATAGAATAGAATAGAATAGAATAGAATAGAATAATGCTTTATTACATCCTTAATGAAATCTGACATTTCAGTTTTGGTAATTGCTGTATTAAAGCTTTTTTTAAAATAAACTACAATTAAACTACACATAAAATACAATGGCAAATTAATGTAATATTCTCAGTCACCCAAGTTTGTTTTCAAAGTCATATCCATTTATAAAGTGAAAACAATGTTAATCTCAGCCAGTAGCACAGAATGACTACAGATCAATCCTTTAAACCTGGTAGGATTACATTGTAATGATCGTACGTACGTCCCACACAAATTAACCGCGACGTTT